TTAGAATAGAATATAGAAAAATAGAATAGAAAATACATGAACAGAACAAATCTGACTAGAATTAAACAGAACAGAATTGGCAGAAACTGAACAATTTAGAATAGAATATAACAGAACAGAAAAGAAAATACTGTAACAGATCGAGTTAAAATAGAACAGAATAAAATAGAAACAAAACAATTTAGAATAGAAAAGAGCAGAATAAAATAGAAAGTACAGGAACAGAACAGGTTAAATAAAATTATAGGTTAGAAAAACCTCATCACAATTAAACCCATATGAGGACTCATTTAAGAAAGGCTTTAAATGTAAAGCTGGAAGTGTCACACACTGCCATCTTGAGGCCGATCCACCCGTTACTATGCTAGATAAACTACCAAAACAAACCAATATACACACACTAAAAGCACACAGCATCATGTGGCACATTTAAGAGCAGTTTAAAGCAGAGACACACACTCCTCTGAAGTGAGCATGCTCAGTCAGTACAGATGTGAATTTGGGAGTGGCGCTAAAATTCCACAGGAAAAAAAGTGACTCATGTTTAAAGTACGACAATGTGAATCAGATGGAAAAAAAGAGCTCAGTGTTTCTGTTTTCATTTCATGACTACATATTACAAGAGCACAACAGAACAGAAATGAAAGTTAAAAGAAAGTTCCTATACCTGAAACCTGATTTTGACAACATCAAGAGGGCTGATGAGGGCCCGGGTGACGATGCCCGCCGCTGACCCCGCCAGAGCTGCTTCCTCTGGGGCCAGAGACACACTGGGGGAGTTTGGGTCATATCCCACCATTCCTGCTCAGATCAGGAGACAGAAACACAGCATGTTGTAGACTACTTTCACTTTTTATTAATCTGACACTGATGTGCACGGAGGATGAAAACCCCAGTGGAACTAAACAGAGATGAACTGAAAAGACGGATGAATGGATGGATGGATGGATGGATGGATGGATGGATGGAGATAAATATATACAGACAGACAGACAGACAGACGGACGGACGGACGGATGGACAGACAGACGGATGGATGGATAGATATAAACAGATACAAATGGATGGGTGGACAGACAGACAGACAGACAGACAGACAGACAGACAGACAGACAGACAGACAGACAGATAGATAGATAGATAGATAGATAGATAGATAGATAGATAGATAGATAGATAGATAGATAGATAGATAGATAGAAACAGATACAGATAGATTGATGGATAGAGATAAATACAGCTAGACGCCGGATGGACAGACAGACAGACAGACAGACGGACAGACAGACAGACAGATGGACGGATAGATATAAACAGATACAGATGGATGGATGAATGGACAGACAGACAGATAAAGTTCTGTAATCAAATTAAATTATTAACATTTAGTCAATTTACCACAAAAGAACTGTATGAACATATAATAACAATAAATGACATTTGCTGCTTCTTCAAAATATTTATTTATAACTCAATTCTTGAGTTTCTTGAGAGCGGACAACTTAATTGTTTATGTTCATTCTACTTAAATTTGTAAAAATGTTGCCCCAACACAAATGGATTGTGTGGAAGCCAGCATTCATTACATACTGAGGTGCAGTTCGCAGTCAAATACACAGGGCTAATGTTGTTTACTTACATGTGATTTCAGACCGAATATTCAAAGTACCGTGGTAAACAATATAGGGAGAGTGTCACAAGTTGTCACGTGTCTTTACTGAACTTAAACAGGGACTGATAAAAATATTCATTTAAAAGAAAGACAATTAGAAGCTATTGAAGTGTCCACAAACACTATAATAATAACGTACCCTAAAGGGTTATTCGCTAAATATTAAAATATAAAGACATTTTAGTCATAAAAAGACATAATATCATGTACCCTACTGCGGCTCTATTTGACAGGAATTGGCAGAATACAATGACTGCGTTTCCAAAAGCGTTTTCAATGGCATATATCAGTAAGCAGCTCATTATTTGAGACACAGCCACAGTTGTCCTACCCTTACTGACTTAGTAAGTTACACGCTTAAGATATAAACGCGTGTTATAGGAAACAAACCTTTCTTGTGTGCTCTTTAGTGTGTCTGGAGTTCCTCTGTGGAATCGGCTTTTTTGTGATGCTCTCTAATGAGAAAAGTGCTGCAATGTGATGTTAGAGGGCACCTCATGTTCCCTTCATAGTCACTGTTGTACAGCACAGTGCACGGACCAATGACAGGGCGGCGCGACTCTGTTTACTCACCGTGCGGGAACTCACTCCGAGAATATCAGTTCCGAGCTTAATCCCTTTCGTTTTCTTTGTACTTGTTTTTAATGTCGTTGTTAACTTTAATTTGTTTGATTTAATTTAATTTAATAAGATTGAATTAAATTCATCTTTTGTAAAAAATAATTGTAAACGTTACATTTCAAATTAAATTAAATTAGACGTCCACATTCCTAATAGTTTATATTTTTATAAGTTAAATAATTAAGTTATTTTTAAAGTTATCGTTAAAGTCATTACATTAATTATTCTGCGATATTCTGTCTATTTGCTTTTGTTTTTATTAAAATATGATTATTTTTACTGCAATAATAACAGTACAGTACATTACAACAAATATACAAAACTGAAAGAACTATGGTACAATCAATAGGAAAATTACTTTTTGAAATAAGTGGAATGTAACAAATTTAGAACAAATATAATATAGGTAAATCAAAATAAAGAACAACAATAGAGAGAAAAAAACAAAAAATGACAAAGAAAAAAGAAATTATTGCAGAATATTAAATAAAGCACATATTTTATAAGTTTTGATAGCTTTCTTGTTGTGAAAGACTGTGATGGTTTTTAAATAAAGAGCTAGTTCTCGTTTAAAAAATTAAAAAATAGGCTTACAATAAATATGTTTGCATTTGTGTATAAAAAAAAACCTTCCAATAAATAAAATGAGGTTTATGCAAAAAGTTGAAGTAAGGAATTTCCTACAATATAAAACCCCAAAATAACATGTCTACAGCTTAAAGAAAAATCCCCACAAACCTTTAGGACAATTAGAGAGTTTACATTAGACCAAAAAGATTTAACAGAGGGACACTCCCAAAATAAGTGAGCAACAGATTCAGAAGAGGTTTCACAGAAAGAGCAAGAGATGTCAATGTCATTTTTGAATTTTTGTAAAAAAAAAAAAAAAAAAAAGTTTAACATGATAAAACCTGTGAATAATTTTAAAATTTATTCCTTAAATGTAATTTGTTAAAAAAAATTCTGGGGGAGCAACCAGACATACGACCATTTATTATCACCAAAGAGGTTGTTTCAATAAGAAATAGAAAATGGATTTGAGATGACAAGGTCTAAAAATAAAGATCTGATTTAATGATTTGATTTTTTAGTGGAGAAACAAATAGACCCAACAACAGTAGAATCAGGACTAAGGGAACAAGCAGAAATCATTTATTCATTCATTTTCTTGTCGGCTTAGTTTATTAATCCGGGGTCGCCACAGCGGAATGAACCGCCAACTTATCCAGCAAGTTTTTACGCAGCGGATGCCCTTCCAACCACAACCCATCTCTGGGAAACATCCACACACACATTCACACACACACTCACTCATACACTACAGACAATTTAGCCTACCCAATTCACCTGTAGCACATGTCTTTGGACTGTGGGGGAAACCGGAGCACCCGGAGGAAACCCACGCGAACGCAGGGAGAACATGCAAACTCCACACAGAAACGCCAACTGAGCCGAGGTTCGAACCAGCGACCTTCTTGCTGTGAGGCGACAGCACTACCTACTGCACCACTGCAGAAATCAATGAATTATTATTACTATTTCTAAAAAGCATAGATATTTCAGAGGAGATGGCCTTACAAACGATATTAAATTCTTTCTTAGATATGGCCAGAGTATATCTTGCAGTAAAATCAGAGTAAGTAAAAAAATTACCATTACTGTCAAATAACTGGTTTACTAATATCACCCCATTACTGAACCAATTATTAAAGAATATAGATTTCCTCTTATGTACAATATTACAATTGTTCCAAATAAAAAAAAACTGTGTGGCGAGAAATTGTGCTTATAAATAAGTTTCCATGCCTGAAGCATTTGCTGATGAAAATTGGAAAGTTTGATAGGACGTTTGTTAATTAAGAAATTACACATTAATAAAAAGTCAATGCCTCCTAATTGAGAAAAAAATATACTGAGGAAATACACTCCAAATAGACGATTGCTTGTGGTAAAATATGATTCTTATTGTTGACAGTTTATAGTACATATCCCTGCTAAAAAAATCCAGCTTAAACCAGCCTAGGCTGGTTGGCTGGTTTTAGCTGGTTGACCAGGCTGGTTTTAGAGAGGTTTTGGCCACTTCCAGGCTGGTTTCCAGCCATTTCCAGCCTGGTCTTAGTTGGTCAGGCTAGAAAATGACCAGGTAAATCCAGCTAAAACCAGCTTGACCAGCCTGGTTTAAGCTGGACATAGCTGGTTTTGGCTGGGCTCCCAGCCTGCTAGGCTGGTCAAGCTGCTTTTAGCTGGTCACCTCCCATCCTGACCAGCTAAGACCAGGCTGGAAATGGCTGGAAACCAGCCTGGAAATGGCCAAAACCCCTCTAAAACCAGCCTGGTTGACCAGCTAAAACCAGCCAACCAGCCAACCAGCCTAGGCTGGTTTAAGCTGGATTTTTCAGCAGGGATAGCATAAACAAAAACAAAGAAGGTTAAAAATGACTACTTAATAAAGGCTTTAAATAATTCTGATAAACTAAATACACTCTTTAACACATCCAACCCTCACAAGAAATGAACGAATGAAATTATGTATTTATAAATTCAGTTATATACATTTGGAATGGTGTTATGAACAAACTGATAAATAAAATGATTACATAATTTTTTTGCGTAGATGTCAAAAAATATGCATAGCAGTTTCTTCTCGTTAATTATTTATTTTATTCCGCGAGGTCAGTACTTTGAGACGCCGCCTATATCCTAGTGT